CTGGAGTTCAGACGTGTGCTCTTCCGATCTATATATGTATATATATATATTTTTTTAATCTGCACATGTTATTTTTAATAAATTTCGAGCGAATGACTCTTACGATAATCAAATTTTACAGTTATTTGTTAATTTCATAAAATTTGGGTATATTTTTTCAATATTAATTATTTACACATATCTATCAAACAAAGAGAGGGAAATGAAAAAATTAATTTATTTCAATGTATAATACAAGGAAAAGTTTATATAATTTTTTATTTTTAATGTCAATTTTTAATAAAACTTAGAGTGAGGAAACAAGAACCTTAAATAATATTATATAATAATATTATATAATATACTCTTCTCATTTTACAATGACATCTTATTTGTTAAGTTTTCTTTTTATCCTAGCATCATCGTTTACACCCTTCAAGATGTAACGGATAAAATGTAATAATTGTGTAAAGAGACAAACAATAAACTAATTTAATATGTAAAATATACATGTATATGTGTGTGCGCGCGTGTGTTCATGATATTAAATTAGTGCAAAAGATATTAAGTTACGAGTTCAAAGTTTAAGTCCGAAGTTCGTAGATATGAATAAAAAGGAAAAATGCATTAAGGTTAATATATGATTTTTTTTAAATTAATAAAGCTACTTTTGAAATCATTGTTATTTTGTTTTGAATTTTTACTTGGTAAATAAACTTTTGCACTAATATAATATATTGTAAAAAATACTTTATACTTTGGCGTTGCCAACGACTGTGCATGTAATGTTATTTTGCATCATGTTATATGTTAATCTTCATAAGGTAAGAACGCTAAATAGTGTGACTTACGATATATCGATAAAGACCAATCTTTTTTAACTTCTATTTTCCTAAAATGACATATCGTATAAGGAATTAATGTAATATGTACATTACATTAATCCATTAACGACCAATCTCATTTTTGGGATAAAAATTTTATTGTGAATAAAATAAATTTAATAATAAATGACATTATTGTATCAATTCTTTTCAATATCTCGTTTTCAAATCTATGTAAATATCTGAAAATATAATGATAAATTGTGTTCAGAATATTGTAGTATTATTAATAAATAAAAAGTAAGAGCAATTGTACAATGAAATATTATATTACAAATACGGTCTTTAACTAAATTATTTACGTTACTGCACGGGGGTCTTTAATGGATTTATTAATCAAATACGAATAAAAATGGGAAAGAAGGAAATCTTAAAAATAAATTTAGTAGTTTCAAACACAACAAACAAATGAATTAAAATAAATCTAAATTGGAAAAGTTTAATAAATTATTTTTTAATGTACATATATTTTGATATCTTTTCATTGTTGCATATTAATTTTAATGTTGGCTTTATTTGAATTTCTTATTAAAATAAGACTTTTAATAATAATTTTTAACTTTTAGTTTAAATTAAAGGAAAGCAGAAATTAAAACAAAATATGTTTTTAAAAAAAATTAAGACATATATATCTCTTTATTTCATATTTTGCTTTTAATTTAAATCAAATATATTTATTTCATTTTATTAAATTAAATCTTTTAGGGAAGTTTTACGCATATGCTTTACATATAATTCTATATGAGTGATTTTTCCTTCTAATACCATTTTTATTCGTCCACTTTATCTACAGACATTTTTTATCAAGATGTATCTCGTTTATTAGCCACCTATTAAAGTTCGTCGTGTAAATGGATTTATACACTGTTGCAGAATGTTCGATACGAAGATGTGAATGATACGTTAGTAATAATCTTAAATTTCCTTTTGGATCCGATCTGATCTGATCTCAACATTCGTTTTAAAAATCAATTGCTGGACATCCTCTTCAGAAGTGCGCAAGAAATCCTATGAGGATCAAGAAAACTTTAAGTTTTCAGTTTAAAAAAATTTATAATTGTATAACGATAATTCTTCTGATTTCTTATTCTGTTATAATGCAAAAGAATTATTTTTCCAATTAAAAATCTATTAAATCTGAAAATTAAAATACTGACTGGAGTCTCACAACTTCTTTTCTAGACTAATATGTCTCTCGTATTGCGTGTATAAGTTAAAGCTAACCAAATTAATCATAATCAATATGTACAGGATCTTCCAATATTTTTTTAAACCGTTGTTTAAGGATTATTTTTTGTAATTTTTGTATTTTACTGTAAATTGTTTAGTTTTAATTGTTTTAGTGTAATTAAATGTCACATTAAAAATTTTATTGAAATCCAAGATTTGAAGAGTATGACAACGTTTTATTATTTTTCTGATATGTTAGTCAAATTTAAAAAATTGAGGTTCTGTTAATAGAATTAATTATTTAGTAATATTTCATTAAAGTTATATGAGCATTTCACAATTTACTTATGTTTTTAAAATTTACTTTAGTGATAACATGTTTTTCATTTTCAATATACTACACTGTAGATTTTCCACGAATTCTTTCATATATTCCTGTATGGGCACATGCATTCCATTATCACATCGCGACATCTTTGATGACGTTGTGTACTCTAACTGACCTAATGACAGAGCAATCAACATCTCACTACAGTCATTAGCAAATACGTTTCATTTAATACGCAATTACTCTAATTATAGACATTAAAGAATTTTCAGACAAAATTATCGATCTCTTCAAATTATTTCTCTTCTTCTAGAATCTAGTAGAAATTTAAAACTTAACGAAGTTTAGATGAAAGCTATTTTGTATACAAAGATGCTTATTAAATAGTCTAACTTTAAAATAATAGGAAGATATGACTTTTTTTTTATTTAATTTGTTTCATAGATATCTTTAAATAAATTATTTTTGAAAATTTTATTTTATATTTTCCTACGTATTTTTTATTTTTTTCTGAATTAAAAATAATAAAATGACATATATAGATCTTAAATTGTAGAAAACGAAGTTCTTTGTTTATTACTTTGAAAAAATAAAATAAATTTTTATCCGCAAGAGATTCTTTAATTGACATAGAAAATATTATTAGAAAATATATATGTATAATAATTTTCACACAAAATTACGTGATATAAATTAAAGAGAAAATATTGCATGTTAACATTTAAAGAAACTACATAATCACTTTTACTTACACTAACATAAGGAAAAAATACATTATAAAAAAATATTCTAATAAAAATAATGCCTCTTTCTTTCATAATCCTGTACCTCTTTTACACTCCTTAATATCGCATTTTAGAGGAGGACAAGGATGCCAAGGAGACGAAGGAACAGGAGACTCATCAGGAGCAGCAAGTGGTGGATGGCGAATAGAAAATATATTAATTGATGAAGATCACATCGCGCCCCGGTCGGAATGGATTGGACGATGATGGCAATATTCTCGAATGATATAAGGGATGGTAAATAATGATAAAAATCAAGGTAATATCCTCGACCGCAGGCGCAGTGAGTCTTAATGTTAAAAACATGAATGTACGATAGGGAGAAATTGTTTTATATATATATATATATATATATATATATATATAGAAAGAGAGAGAGAGAGAGGGAGAGAGAGATATACATGAGCGACAAAAATATTTACTACGCAGTTAAATAAAATGAAATTAACATGAAAAGAAGATGATTAAGAAAAAAAAGAAGTAAAGAGTAGTGCTAGTTACTACCACGCCTATACGATAAAAACGCGCTAATTCGACGTCGTGAATAGGTGTGAGATTATATGCGCACGTGTATATGTGTGTGTGTGTATATGTGTGGAAAAGTAAAAGTGCGTTTGAACGAGAGAGAAAGAGAGCGAGAAAAAGAAGCATGTACATACATATATATGTATGTAATATATAGATAAAGCGCATATATACATGAATATGTATATGTATGTATAGGTAATTAATTATACATGACTATACACTGTACTAAGCGGTGAGCAAAAAAGTGAAAAAAGGTAGTGAAACTCTTATTACACAATTGCTATGTTTACACAATTATATATATACGTGAGTATATATATATTATATATATATATATATAAATTATAAATACACACACTTACCTATCATTCTCATTTCGCTACTTCTCCTCTGCGTTCTTTCTCTTGAATGTTGTTTTTAGTTTTATGAACCATGATGACGCAAAAAAAAAACGTATTAGTCGCAACGACGATGATAATGATGGTGAATACCTTGTAGCATAACTCTATTCTGAATGTGTTTAAGCGAAAAAGAAATCGCGCGATACCGCCCCGTCAATCGCGTTGCGGAATCGCCCTAATATAATAATATTATTATTGTATATTTTGTGGTTTATTTAACAATAAACTATTAACAATAACGTTAACCGCTGCCTCGATCTTTCTCCACATATATCAAAGTTTTTTTTCCTAATGTTGTTCAATATATATAAATGAATAGAATATATATATAAATGAATAGAATATATATATAAATAGAAAGATCTAATAAATTAAAAGATCTAAAGATCTAATAAATTCAATATTTGAACGAGAATATGCCGATCTTTTAGTCGAAAGAATCGTTCTAACAATTAAACTTATCTAATTTCTATTTTGCATTTTCTCAATTTTGCTTCTATTTTATTTTGTAGTGTTCATGTGCAAAATTAATAAATCGCATACTTTATCTTTTACTCGTTTCCTCATTCTACATATAATCATATACAGTGATAAATACGTAATATGCCAGCAGCGCAATTCCAGTTACAAATGTTTTGAAATAAAAAAAAAGATTCCAAATAGAAGGTTCAAAATAAAAAAAGAAGGCGTTTATGTAAATATATATTTTTTAGATTGACCAAAAAAATTCTTTTATTTTTCCAAACTTTCGAAAATTAAAAAAATTTGCCTTGTTATCTTCAAAGTTCTGACACTCTCAGAATCAAGTGACAGAAAATCTTTATTTATGTCACATTTAAAACGAATTATATTTTATCAAATTACATTTTACATATATTATTTTAGATTTTTTATATAGAAAGAAAAATATATAGACGTATAAAATACGTCATTACATTTTTATAGATTTCTATATTATAACTTTCATTTCTGTTGAATCTATTGGAATATATTTACTTTCATATACAGATATGTATAAATTTTGCATCATCGAGAGCAGATTTTAGAAAATGGAGAACATCCTTCTTGAAGTAGAAAAAATTGTAGTGAAATAATTTTCAAGAAATTCTCAATGTTTTCTATTACAGAAATGTGTCTTTAAGGTCTGATTAGCCGAGAAGAACCTTCCTAATCATGGCACCACTCACAAGCTCCTCGTCGCTGTCGCGTGGCTCGATGCACTTGCTGCTACACAAGTATTGTAACAGCGGTAAGCGATACTTGCCACAGAAGTCGACAAATTTAATGTGCTCCACGCAATTATTAAAGAAAACACCTGCGCAAAAAGATAAAGATTGAATTTGATACAAGATTTAATTAAAAGAATTATTTCACAAATTATTCTAAATTTGTTGCGTATATTTTTATTTTTAAGAAGCTTCTAATGCGTTGTAAAAAATGCAACGCAATCAAGTCTTTATCTCGGTCTAGCTTATCATCTTGAGAATGCTCAACTGCGATTGACTGAATTAAAACTTCGCTTAAGTTTATTCATGCGTCCTCGCGAAGTAACACTTTATCTAATCATTTATTACAGTAGAGGGATTTAGTTGCAAGTAATCTTCGTGTTGATTTCTACCACTCCTCCTTATATCACTTGCATCTTAAAAACGAGAGGGGATGCGTAACCGGAGCGTCAACACGAGAACCGGACCGAAAGTTTTAATTATAAATTTAACCACACTGATTTATTACTAGATTATATATAATTATTGCTAATCGAAATACTGACCTTTACACTTAGGATTGACACAATGGTGAGCACTATTGAGGTATTGTACTAGGTTGTGCGGTATACTTTCATTATCGTAGCGAATGTCGCTGCTCTTGATAACGCGCGCCGCCAGTTCCAGCAAGGATGGCGGATTGTGTGTCATATCAGATACGAATCTCACTACCAATGGATTATCTCGTAAAGACAACTAAAGCGAAAAACAAACGAAGTGTATTCCGCAGAAAAAAAATTGTTTAATTCTGCAAAAATCAGTTATAAATGTTAAATTTTACTGCGCGAAGATATTGCATAGTAAAATTTAACATTTAATTAAGCAGAGGGTGCAGCAAAGAAATCATATTGGGAAACAATTGTGACTATATATTTATGATTATATATATTAGACGAATTAATTCTTCGCATAGCAATAAAAATGATTAATATATTTCTTGGGAGGCAAAAAATATATATTTTGTCTCAATCAATAACGTTTTATTGAAAATTTCATATTATATACTTTGAATTGATTTTGAGATAAAGTTATATATTTATTGCACTAACAAAAAATTCTTCGTGCTAAATTACTAAACTTTATAACGTTATAATTATTATACAGGATGTCCCGAAATTCGCGAGTCAAAATATTATAGCAAGAAAGTCTTCGAAAAATTAAGTAAAAAAGTTATTTATAAATTTTTAATTTAAGCAGTAATTTTTGAGATATAAGAGCTAGTTTAAATTATAGATTACGATTAAACGGAAACATGTCCGTGAGCGCATCGTAGTATTAGTGGTCGCGCACTTCACGCGAGTACTAATCTATAATTGGCTAAATTTAATCTATAATTGGCTAAACCTTTATATCTCAAAAACTATATTGCTTAAAATAAAAATTTACAGATAATTTTTTTACTTAATTTCTCGAATCTTTCTTGCTATGATATTATCTTTATTCGCGAATTTCGGGATACCCTGTATATATAATATACATAATAATATATGATGATTTTAAATTATTCATAACCAACCTCTGTAAGACATTTTAATGTTATTATCTCGGTAGGCAATGTCCGCAGTCTGTTCTTATGAAGCGATAGAGTTTTCAAATTCGATAAATTAGCTATCGAGCTTGGCAAGCTCTCTAGCATATTGTCACAAAGTATGAGAGCCTGTAATGCCTTCAGTTGACCAAGGGTGGACGGTACGTCTGTCAATCTGTTGTTTCCCATCGACAAAACTCGCAACCTTTGAGAAATATATGATACATAATATTTCATAAAATTATTTTTATAATAACGACGAATTGTTAAGCTTTTTGTATAAAAAATGCATATGTGTTATACATGCAAACAGATATAATGGCTTAATACAAATTCTATTCTTTCAAATTTTAAGATTGGGATCATACGAGTGTCAAATCAACGGATTAAGTAATGGACGTTACATATATCGTATATTTTAACGAAACATTGAAATAAAAAACAGTATAATAAAGATTGATTGTACAGCTGGAGTTTCAAATATAGTAACTTGGCTGGAATTTTAAAAAGAAAACAGGGATTGAAATCGGATTGACATCAGCAAATTCAATTCTTTTATCCATGCTTCTCTTTATTGCAGAAAATAAAATTTCGCAATATTGTAATGAATAATTATTTGACACATCTTGATATTGCAATTACAAACTTTTAGTCGTTAATTCTAGTGACTTTCTTAACTAAAATTCTTAACATTGCAATTGTAATAATATTTAATTATATAATATTTAAAAAATTTTTTTATAGTCTTTATATTTACTTTATATTTTTATAGTCTTTATAGTTTCTAATTGACAATTGTGAATTTGGTAACAAATTTGATTTTTATCTAAACTTTATTATTGAAATTCGTTAAAATATATAATTACCCATGCAATTTCCAAATGTCCTTGGTAATCTCGCTGATACGATTGCCACCCAGATAAAGATATCTTAAGCCAGGTAGGTCGAGAATCTGATCAGGAAATCCCGTGAGTCTATTGCCACTTAAATTGAGTTCTCTCAAACTAGCGAGGTTTTCAAAATCTTTCGCTAATCCATCGTTGGCTAGGTTGTTGTGTTTTGCAATCAAGCAAGTGAGAGGACAATCCGTCCAAAAATCTGGTAATCTGGTGAGGCCGCAATTCGAGATGTCGAGGGAATTCAGGCTGGTGAATCTGTTGATACTGGCAGGAAGAGTTGTGAGGAGATTCTGGCTCAACAACAAGGTGTCCACTTGCTCCGGACTTTTCGTATTGAGAAATTGCTTGTCTAACACTTCGTTGTTCAGTAATAGATAGGACAGGTCCAATGTTCTTAACGTGGAGTCTGAGTCGCTTGAGTCCGATGTGTAATTTTCCATGACTGAACTTTAATAGGTATTTCACATTTATTTCTCATGTATTATATATCACTTATTCTTTAATTTATTAACTTAATTAATCGCGATTATCCAAATATTTGTTCAAGAAAAGAGAAAAAAGTTTTAATGGTAAGAAAATTTCATATAAAACTGCGTCGTCATTATCGTAATCACGCGCAAGTATGAAACGGTAAAATGTAAATAGTGGATGTGTATTTTTTTGTCATGTGGATGACATATGCGACGATGTGGATTTGCGTTCAACATGTTATCACACGACTTATATCAAGTCAGTTATAAAAAAAACTGATAAATTTGAAAAAGATTACTGATTAAAAGCATGCAACTTACAAAATCGCTATCGCCGTAAAAATAATTTTTAAATAGTTCATAAAAAATAGTACAATCAGAAGTGAATATTTTTCAATAAAGTATCCTCCATTTGACGTCCTTTTAATTGTAATATAGTTTTCAATAGGCACGCACGCGCATGTATTCACCATACATTCAGCGCATGTAAATTAATTATCAGAAATCGATAAGATTCTGAGAAGACCGGCAAATCATGCTGTTATTGGCCAAATGATTTTTATTTTAAAATGATTCTTGAGAGTAAAACGGAGTAAGCTCCGTAAAAAATAATGTACAAAGTGTTACAACAGTGTTATTAAATGTATTTTTAATAATAAAAAATAGCGCTCTTTCAATCGCGCGCGCGCAAGTTGCAGTTGTCAATATTATTACAAAAATTGTATATTGATATATATATATATATATGTATATAATAAATTATTATAAAATAAGTCATTCTTATAAGGAATTGTAAAAAAAATATCAGACAGCATGCATACCTAAAATCGAGACATGAGTTTTATTGATATGTGTGCTGTCTGGACAAAGAATATGCAAACAAAAAATATATGATTTCCTCGATGGCTGCATAAATAAAATTCACACGTTCGTAATTTAAAAAAAAAGAAGACATTCGATATAAAACTTTTGCTCTTTGTATTGTACTATATTAAAATATTTTAAAAGTAAAACCCATACAGCATCTATCTAGAGACGTCATAAAAACGTTTAGAGGACGTCTTCCACGTCCTAAAGGCGTTCCCAAGATGTCTCTTGAATAAAAAGTGTGCTGTTTGGGAAGTAACAAAGGTAAAATGAGAATAAAGGCAAGTATGCAAATATTTGAATACCGCGCGTTGCTATACCACACACGAATTAACGGTGTGATTCTCAAGTGACGTCACGTTGTGAACCGTCTGATATCACGGGCTGCGTGGAGCACTTACTTATATTACTTGTTTTAGCTTCGCGAAGACGACAAAGGCCGTTGGCAGCTTCCCGTTATAACAATCACTTCCCGAAACGCGCGACGCGTGTTATACGCGTACGTCAAATCTCAAATGAGCGGATATTTTACGAGTCGCGCGAACAGAATGGCGAGTTAATTCCGAACACGCGGAGATCGGCGGTACATGAATCGCGACCGCATGACATCTGCGCTTTATCAGAATCAGCGCGGTCGTATGTATCCATCGCCTATCATCGCCATTCTCCCCGCCAAGTGCAGTCGCAACCAATCCTAAATATATCATTGTTAAGACCTATTCAGATGAACATTAATTGCATATATACACACACATATGTATATATATATATATATATATATATATATATATATATATATATATATATGTATATTATAGTCGTATACAAAATATATATACATACGCATATATAGTTAATTTATATAAATATACATAAGCCTATATAGAATAATAATTAATATTCAGTAGTCATTCAGTAATATCTATACAAATTTTTTGCTAATTTAAAAAAAAAAAATGTTTACATTAGTTATATATATATGTATATGTACAATAATTATTTTATATTATATTTTAATATTTCATATCATTCATATTCATATAATAATATATAATTTACATAATATATTACACAAATAGAATTATTTTTCAATTATGTTCGGATCTTTTCATTTTACAAAATACGTTTATTATTTTTCAATTTTCATTATATACACGTATATAATAAACTTTTAATTGTCGATAATAAAAATAGTAATTTGTAAAGTCAAGTAAAACCGATCGGTAATATCATTGTTCTTCGTTTATCCCCGGGTTCACTTGATAAAATCGATCCATGGAAATTTGCAGTTTGACCTGTTTGATCGACCCATAGATATACATACCTCGCCGCGGTGTTTTGGTGTATTCTGGAGTGTTTTGAAGAGGTTAGAAAACGTGTGCATTCGCTTTTAGGAAGGACCGAAGAGAGAAAAAAAAGGAAAATAAAAGAAAAAAATAGGAACAATTCTTGATACTGACTGGCATACTCACGGATGAATTTTACAATTTATTCTATAATTATAATATTGTAAAACTTTTTCTGGCACAGAAAGCAGACGCGCAGCTCTTATGCCGCAATCACCACGAGGAAGAAGAAAAAAAGAAAGCTTTTTCTACAGTTAATATTTTATACGGTAAGATTAGTGATAATGTCTTAATACTATACCCACAACTCGTCTCTCGGCTTGCGTAAATAAGATGTCCCGGTCTGTCTCGCACGTACTCTTTTTAGTGCCGAGACTTTTGGCTGTGTAACCTTGTGCAATTGAAATTAATTGTATTATTTGGGATAAATTGCATTGATATTGTTTAATAACATATTATATTTAATAACATATTAATAACATATTATTTAATAACATATTATATTTAAATTAAAGTATTTGTTTCTATAAATATTTTATATTGTAGATATATTTACTAATAAAACTACTGATTATAAAACTACTGATATTAGCAATTAACTAATTTATAAGGAATGTTAAATAAAATGAAATGGTATAGTTATTGATTAATAATAAGTAATAAATAATAGTTGTAGTTTATATATTCTGAAAACATCTTTTTTTGTCATTTTTAAAATTTTATTTTTGTATAATTTAATTCACATTTTAAGTTATTTTAAAAATATTTTTTTTTAACATACATTGTAACAAATTATAGTAAAACTAGTTTTTACATAATTATGAAATAATTTTAACAATGGATAAATTTAATTTTCAGGTAGAATAAATGACGCTGTTTTATAAGCTGTATCAACCACTACGGTCCTGTTCGTACAAATTTTACAGCAATGCATATGTTTTATCAAGGCAAATCAATACTACTGGAAAAGTTATTTCTTTAGAAGACCTAATCACGAAAAATGCAGATACATATGAGAAAATAACAGGAAATTTATCAACTACAGAATGGAAAAACATACGAGAGAAAATTCTTCAAAAAAATGAAGAAGTCACGCCGACCACTGTAGATTCCATAATCATAGATATGTGTATTAAAGATGCCCAAATGGATAACGCTATTGCATATTTCAAATTCTTGAGGGAAAATAATTATTCCTTGAATATGGCAGTGATTGGAAAATATCTCAAACTCTATGTTTTGAAAAAAAACTCATTGACCAATGCGGATAAAACAGAAATTGTAGAAACTTATGACGCTTTGAGGCAGAAGCATCCGTATTTGGATTCCTTTACAGCCCAAGACTGCATAATGAGCTTATGTCTGACAGATGAATGGGAGAAAACGCATGAAATAATAGAAATGTTGAAGATTACCTCCACTCCAGGCACTGCTATATATTCTACATTAGCTGATGCAGCGTTTAGAAATGAAAAACCTGACATTGCATGGAAAGCACTATCAGATATAATGTCGCGCAAGTTGATTCCACAGAATAATGTGTATATATCGCATCTACAATATTGCCAGCTGAAAGATGAACAATTTTTCAACAATAAAATGGAAGAAATGTTTCATTTCTGGGTTAAACACAACATAATGCCAGATAATAAAATTATAAGTACATATGCTGATACAGCTAGCAAATATGGCTGGTCCACAGAACTCGTAACGATCCCTAAAAAAACGTTTGTTTCTTTCTTACTATTTCAAAATGATTCAGTTTAGTTCATTTAGTGATTTTAAGTAGCTAAAGGAATTTAATAATTAAAGATGGAGTTTTCTCAGTTAATAGTAGTTATATTAACCTATAAAATTAGGTTCTTTTTTTAATAACGTTTAAGAATTTACTAAATAAAGTTAAGATTTTGAAGGAAATAAATTAGTATTTTGTATTAGTAGATAAAATTTTAATAGTAATATTTATTCTGTTTAGGGGGAATTGTAAACATTGCGGATATTCCTTGTCCAAAATAACATTTAGTGAAAAGGAATTTGAGGAACTTGCAACGTCCATCATGGACAAGGTGATCATAGGATCGGATATCTACAATAAGTCTAATCCAAAAGAGTTGTTGAAGTTTAAGAAATTTATTGAAGATACTAAACCTTACGACATAGTGATTGATGGACTTAATCTAACTTATATCAATATGAAACTTCCTGCACCCAAATTATTAACGGTAATATGTAACTGTTTTTATCAAAATATAGTGTAATATTAATATATTGAGAGATAATATATAAATATATTAGCGTACACATTATATTACATAAATTCATATCTCATATATATAGAAATATGCTGTTTCATCAGTTGCAAAGTGAATCTTCTATTATTATTTAATATATTAAATATTAATATGTGGTTTCATATTACAGCTAACCAATGTGGTCGATCATTTCAAAAAATGTGGAAAAAAGATACTCGTATTGACGCGGAAACATCAAAGAAAGCTATCTGCTTTTAGGCACATAGAACGGAATACATTCGTCTTCGTAGTAGACAATTTGTAAGTATTGAAGTCTATGAAATCTATTTTACAAATACTATAGGATTTTTTAAATGTAATAAATATCATGGCATAAGATTAATTTATAATTATAAATAAAATAAAAATAGTCAATAATATTAAACTATTAAAATTATATTATATTAAATAAAACTGTAACAAAATTGTGTTTATAATAAATCAAATTTTAGATCTGCTGATGATCCGTACCTGCTTTATGCAACCATGGCGAGTGGGATGAATGCAATGTTTATCTCACTGGACTTGATGCGACAGCATAAGTATTCTTTGCAAGATGACATCTTACGACAAAGATTTACGAAATGGCAATATTCGCATCAGTACTTCGTCAAGAAAAGTATAACCGGCATTCGTATCCAAGAGCCTTTTGCCTATATGCCGACTGTACAAAAGAATAACAATTGTTGGCACATGCCATATGTTACATCTGATAACGAGAATATTAATACACAATCGTATTTTGAATTCCCAGATAAATGGTACTGTTTCAAACATAAGAGAAAATAAAAGAAATAGAACTTTAATTGATTTGTAATATGTACTTATTATATTTTTATTTTAATTGTAATATATATATATATATATATATATATATATATATATATATACAGTATATATGTATATAGTATAATTTTAACCATTTTCGATATCCAGAAAAAATTAATTCAACGAGTACGATACTTACCTGTATTGTTTATTTCGTTCTCTTATAATTGGCTCTGCTGGCGCTCAGAGAATCATTAATGATGAATCACTGTGACATAATTACTGCTTATCTCATCGACGTGAACAGTGAAAAATAAATAATCGTTAATATTCGCATTTGTTTGGTGAAAAAATACGATTTACCTATTATTTAGTAATATGCAACTTTCAAAGTAGTTTTGAAAATTTCCGAATTTTTAAAGAAAGTATTTTTTTATCGTATATATATGTTCATTATATCAAGAAAATGCAGTAAATTGTGCAAATACAACAAAAATTAACTTTTTCCTATTTCCCATTTTTACACGTGTTCGTAATTATTCGTGATATCTGAAGTAAACAATATATTGCTCCGATTGAGTCTCCGTTTAATTGTAAGAACAAAATTGAAAACAGCACATAAGCAGAGAGAAGCATGAGAGTGGCCGTCCCGGCGTTTGGCTGCGTTCCGCAAAGCGCATTATGCGCAAGATTTATCTTTTTATCTTCGTTTAACATTTGATGAACAACAAGGATAATATCATGCGCACGATGCGCTTTGCGGAACGCAGCCAGAGAGAACGGGCTTTAAACAAGCGAGCGGTTGAGTTTAGTCGCGTCATGAGGATCGGCCCGTTTGTCGCGAGCGCGGTCAGAGGTCGCTGCAGTCGCGATTTTAGTTTTTACGATCAGCCGAGTAAGAGAGAGAGAGAGAGAGAGGTTTATTTCGCGCAATTAATTCCCGCACCGTGATTTATCGCGCTTCCCAACGGCGACCTTTCGTCACGATTTCTCGGGTGCCGCGTATCCCGCACGCCTCTCGGCCGCCGGTCGGTCGTGGCCGTTACTCGCTCCAACAAGCTTGAAGCTCGTCCTTGCGAGACATGTGATGCTGCGCGTGCTGTGGTCTGCGCCCGAGCCTCGCCATCTTTGTCTGTCACCGCCGTCGCCGTGCGCCGTCGTCGTCGCCGCCGCGAAAGAGGAACGGACACGGAGAACGTGGCCCGGACGCTCCGCCGACCGTTCATAGTATTTTTTTCGTCGCGTGAGAGCCCTCGTGAGTCTCTTCCCTCCGTCGCGAGGTCTCTGCGACGCTCCCCGGTATCGATTCCGCGTGAAGGATCACCGAGGCCTCCTCGCACGCATCTCCGGCGTGTCCAGTTCCTCGACTCGCGAGAGAAACGAAGAGAGAGAGAGAGAGAAAGAGAGACTGGGGTCTGTCTCTCCCACAGCGAGAAACCTTCGCCAGGGCCTTGCGAGGGCATTTCCGGAGGACGTTTTCCCGAGGACCTCTTCGGGGCACAGCATCCCTGATCCGCGCACCGGTGGGATGCTACATTGAGGCGAGCGGTGGCAACCTTGTATGGACCATTCGCACGAGTGAGTATTTAAATTGTTTTGTCTATAGATTGTGTCGCGCAGAAATGTTGAATCAGCTGACGAGACGCTGCTAGATAACAGGTTGATACGATTGTATGATGTGCATCGTTTGAAATTGCGATTGTGAGAAGGCTATATTGTTATTATATAAGACGGGATTACGTCTGTCCAGTTATCAAACAAATAAACAGTTATCAGGTGTAATTTTATGTGTTGGTATAGGAAAAACATGAGCCTTACTCCGATTGTTAGAAATAAGATTACGTTTCTCCGCATGTCTTATGTCCATTTCTATCAATGTAGATTATCTTTAATCTCGGTTTAACTTAATTTTTGTCTTTTTCTAGTTCAAAGAATTTAGAAGAAGATAAGGAATAAATTCAACCGAGATTAAGGTTAATCTACATTGGTAGAAATGGACCTTAATATGAGAAAAGCAATTGTCGTAAAAGGGATTTTCTCATACTCAGGATATTCCAAAATAATAGGAAAATGAGCATGTATTATTTTGATATGACCCATTTTCATTTTAAAGTTTAAACTATGGTATGGTAAAGTTTAAACTATGGTATGGGGATTTCAATTCTAGGAAATTGTGTCTCTTTCGATGAATATTTGACAATTTCTTTAATGTCAGTTAGTTCTGACTGACATTATTGGTGAAAGATCCACGTCTCTATCTTGGCAATCCGCAGGTATAACCGGAAAATTAACCGACTTAATTCATTTCCGCCGACAGCAGTCGCCAACAGTAATCGTGGAAGCATAACAGAGGGTTAGCGACCATGACGTTGACGAACATCACTGTTTTTGGCTACTTCTCCAAATAGGCACTTTAAGCAATCTATGAATTGCGGAATCTGTGACAAAATTTAGTAAATTGAGAAATTGATAATTAATTGACCCACATAAATCTGTCTCGTTAAGAGATTAATGACCCATGTATATAATAATAAATAAATAATAAAAATAAACGTATATACATGTCTAATTCTTGAATGGAAAAAGTATATATAAAATGAGAAAGTCTGTATGTAAGGTATAAAAAATATGTACCCTATTTTTTACGTTTTTATTCTACTTTTTGGAATTTTTATGAAAAATATGTTGAGTCTTAAGCAATTCTAACGTAAGAATTAATAGGTTATACATATAATATATTTGGAGTTTTTCTTTATAATATTAGTTTGATGTGTAATATTGATAATAGCATTTAATTTATATTTCTATATTTCTATATTATATATCCTACTATTTTAACTCACTATTACAATAATTGATAATTAATTTTATGAAAACTATTAAAATTAATTGATTAAATTTACAAGTTATTAATAAAGTAAGTTATTAAAACTTTCTGAGTTTAAAAGTAACATATATTTATTAGATAATAAATATATGTTACTATTATTTAATTAGATAATATTAAATATAAATATTTCTACTGAAGATCAATTAATTTATCTGTATTTAAGTCTTTATTAAATTAAAAGTTGCACAACACTTTAATAAATTTTTTTTAATTTGTTAAATTTATTCATTAATATAATTAAATATCAATTTTATTACCTTATATATATTTATCTAATTCTTGTTTTTTTAATAAGTGAAATTTTATTAGCAGATAATTATCAATGATTTATGAATATATTAGTTTATCAGATAGAAATGTTTTTATTTATTCATTAGAGCTTTAATATTTAGAAAAGCTGCTTTGCACGTTTATTGTGAAATTATTCCGCCACAATTCTAAAATCCTTTCTCGTCGGTTCTGAGTGAAACTTAATAAGACTTTTCCTTTCTCCACATCATTATAGTTGTTCTGATGTTATTTATTGTACACTTTAATTTTCAACTATTATCATATATTTCATACACCGTTCGATATCTAGATCATGCTGTATCTGAAGTAATTTCGTTCAACATAGTAACAGTTCAGTATTATTTTAAATTATGAATTACATAATTATCAAGAAATTAGAGAATTTCATATAAAATGTCTTATAAAGTATTTATTACGAAAAATATTACCTCAGAACCATGTCTCGAAATTAAATCTCTTTTAGCAGTTTTTGTATGCCAACTGCAAAGTACTTTTCTTTATTGTATGTACTGTTTATTTCAAGAAATATCATTGAAATTTTGATGATTAAATCCGCTCGAAAATATCCAGTTTGTTTAATCTCTATTTTATTACTGTACTTAATTATATTTTTTATTCTTGTGTTTATGTATTTATTATATTATTACGCAGAGCTGTGTTGAAACGTTATAAAAATATAATAACATTCTGGTTTAACAATATAATAAATTAATTATATAAGAAAAAGAAAGTCACGCAAATGAATGGAGTATTCTCTGAAAATAATAGTTTTTTTTTTTCATTATTGGACAATTGGCACTGATGTGATCGATCCTTCTTTTGGTTCAAAATGGCACAACAATTATCGAAGAAAAATTTTAACAGTTTAAAATTATAAACTATCATTATACAGTTGAATGTTTCCCTAAAAATCACACCGGATGATTTTCATTTCTGTATAGAAATCTGGTAGGAAATCCGTGAGAGGAAGAGAGAGCAGTATTTCTGCATAGCTATTCGTACACGGATACACTAGATTACTTGGTAATAATGTGTTACTAGCTCAGTAGTCTGTCGTCATGTTGTGAGTCATCGAATGCCAGTCACAGCTGTATGCTCTAGTCTGGGATTGCAGAAACAGACTGCGTGGAACTTTCTTGCCGCGCGCAGATTCCTTGAGGATCGCTAGCTTTGCGCGAAGAAATTTCAGAGAAACTTTACATATCAAGTATTAAAAATTTTTATTAATTGATCACAAGTTTATATCTAATTCATTGTCTTATTAATTATTGTTTTACATTATTAATAAATAATGTAAAACAAATTTTCGATGAAAATCTTCAATTATATCATAATCACTATTTTAGTAGACAAATTGGATATTAATAATGGTTAATAGAGTAATGATTCAAGAATAAAGATGTTATTATATATATGTGACGAATTTAAGAATATTTCATTTGACTTTGAGAGATCTTGTACATAGAGATAGCTTGTTACATGAGATAGCTTGAACGTAACCTGCATTCTAACTGCGGCCTTAGGAGATGCGATTCGTGCACTCTCCTTTATGCAACGTTATACCCTACGGAGCATCGTGGCGCAGGCGTTGTGCATTTTCCATCCCCACTGACGCTCTGCACCCTTCTCGAGGGTAGGGATGGGCTCGCTCACGGGGGTGGAAGTCTTCAGTGAGAGACTAAACGCGATACCGCGCGGTACGATCACCGTGGCGATCGGAATTATACACACACACACATACACACACGGTGTACATATATCCCCCTTCCCCGTCCCTCTCCCCACACATGTAACACGCATATTCATGTATATACGCGGCGCGTATAATATTTGTATACAATCTATATTTTTGTACCAACGGTAATTAGATGACTCTTTTTTGTATTGTGAAATACGTCCAACGGGAAGAATCGTTGTGTATATAGATACACACACACACACACACACACACACACTCACACACACATATATATGTGTATATTGTGTGAAGTGGTAGAACCGGCAGAGTCCACCATTACCGATGGGTAGGACGGATATGTCAAAAACGCTCAATGCTTATAGAATGTGAGTAGACATAAAAAAATCCATAATATCCTCTTCTTCTTCCTTTTTTGTTACGAACAGTTTTCTCATAATTTCTCTGTGATTACTTGGAGTGACAAAGTTGCTCGTATTGGGATTTAATATTGCAATTATGTCGTGAATTGACGAGGTATATCTTGAAGAGGAATTATTCTCACAAGTCCGCAGTAAAGATTCTTTTTCCTGTTAGATCTCGCCCACACTCGATATAAACGATTTTTCATCCCTCCAGCTTCATGTCACCGTAATTTATACATCCATCTGTACGTTTTTAGCGACCTTGTCTTATACGCTTTACCCTTCATTTCTTCGTTCTTTCGACATCATCGAACCTGAATCTATTTCATATTAAGCGTAAAAAATACAAGAAGCCACAGCGGAAAGAGACAAACTTAAAAATAATATGGGATTGGCAAAATGTCTGCAGTGATTATAACTATACGGAAGGTAGCTTCAGCGGGAAATAGCAGGCGAGTTCAACGGCGAAAGGCTGTCGATATCCAAGATTAGACTTGACACTTCGTCGGGTTCAACGGGATAAGAATCATTTATATCCGATTACTAACGTAACGGTCTTACAAAGAAATTGCACCAACTGTCGTCGGTGCCAAGCATCGATCGGCGGGTTCGCATGGCGCCGCGACGTTATCATGCTCATCTGCGATATTCGGAGCGCAGTGCTGATATATGAAAAATTTCCTGAAATATCTTTAAAAACTCATCATCGTTCCACAAAGATTCTTATTGATATCAGCACATATAACATACACATTCACCGTTTATCTATTCTTTAAACCTCCTTGAAACGTCGATCAATATTATACAGATTTTTACTGAAAATGTATTCTGCTTTGGATGCTATATCTGGTATCATAATTTGGTACAATAATTCGATCTCCAGCATGGTGTTAATTGACGCTAATTGTGGTTTATTTGAGCCTCTAGCTTTTCTTGAAGATTAGAAAGTTATATTAATGCTAGTTAATCAATGTTGTTTTGTGACAAAAATTTCTGTCTTGTGACAAAAATAAATGTACAAGTAAGGGTTTCGTTACATAATTAATCTTGTGCTGGATTTATTGGATTACATTCCTAGAAATATAAATTGATTAATATTAGTAAGAATATGATCTACTTATTAAGTATACAAAAGTGTAATGAATTATTTGAAAGATTTAAATTTGTTCGTGAAAAAAAGAGAAAAGGCAAAAAATAAATAAAATATTGGAAATGCGTTGCAATTAAATAAATGCTACATTGATTTTTGATAAAACCTTTTTGTCTATTTGCTAATACTTTTGGAAAGTAAATAAAAATTATTTCAATTGGTAACAAGCGTAACTGCATTCCAGTATCTTGAATTTCTCATAGTCTATGTTGCGTGTTAACATAAACACGCAATGTCGCCATAACTTTGATATCTCACTTCCTTGTGCGAAGTAAACTTAGATCGTCGTTTCACGGATCAAGAATGATGGCATGTAAAGATAAATTAATTTGAAAGTGATAGGATAATGGTAAGTCTAATTGTTACATATTAGTCTAAAAATATATTATGCTGATCGAAAAATTCTTTCTGTGTAATACTGCATTAAAGCAGAAGAAGAAATTCAACAACCATATTCACGAATAGCTGCACATCAATTAGACTCGAGCGATTTTTTTCGGTTTTTTCTTTTCCTCTTTTTTTTTTAAGAAGAATGAAACTTTACATATAATTTTTTATTATTGAGTTCTCGAGTTTTATGAATTTGCATTTTATTTTTACGTTTTTTTTATAGATGATCTGTAATTTATTTCTATTTAGACAAAATTCTGTTTATTATTTTATTTATGGTATATGATAAATATTTGAAGAATTTGTAATACGAAGAGCAAGAATCGAACTACACTAAAGTATATAAAATACATAAAAATAAAATGTATTAAAGTACATATGTACCTTAAAATATATATACGACGTACAAAAATATAAATAGAATTTACAGTTTTACTCTGCAATCTGATATGAATTATAGATCATCTTAAGTGGATCAGCTGTTACTCTTAGCTATTCTTATTTTTATTTATTTTTATATATACTATATTTTAGGTATATACTAAATCCAATCTGATACTTAAAATTAGACTAATTTTGCCCAATCCCCCCCCCCCCATCTCTTATTTTTCTATGTTTGTATTCATATTTATATTCTCGTTTCTTCTTTCCTTCTATTTTTTTCTACATTTAACTTTAATCATCTGCCTTATTACTCTGTCCTTTCTTTCTTCATCTACGGATATTTTTATTTTTACTCTATAACTTCTGATAATTTCCAATAATCTCTCTGAGGTGTTTTATATATTACTATGATACTTATAGTATTTCATCTGTAGATTTGTTTTAATAATCCATTAATTCTTCAATGATTAAAATATTAATCAGATGAAATATTATTTGTGAAAAAAAAAGTATTTTTTAGACAGAAAAGGAATTAGAATTGCGCATTTTTGCATTCTTCTATTTGTCCTGCTTAGCTAATTAATTGCAACTGCTACAAATTAGAAATGTTCGTACATTGACTTAAACTTGCTCATGCGCGATTTTTTATTTATAGTAATAAAACAGGGTTAACGTGCTATGAATATATTATTAGCGTGCGGATGTAAAAGATGGTAGGTAGCAGAAAGCAGTTCGAGAGTATATAGCAGTTATAAAGAAAACGATTGTGTGCAGGTAAATGATTTTATTCGCTCTTCCGACTCCCTATCCCACAAAGCTTGTCATAAAATGATTTTTAAGGTTTCGAATCACGATCGTTGATTTATATATGTACAATTTTAATTTATGTAATGGTTTATGTATCGCGATTGGCCGATTTTAATCCAGAGATATAAATCCAAGGCGAATCACTTAGGTCGGTCGTCGTATTTTATTGCCTTCGAATGGTTAAAATACCAGGATCGGACAAGTGATTTTATTGTGAAGTTGCCAGGTGTGTTTGCGGTACTGACCTCAGATAGTTGCTGCAGGCGGTCAAGGTTTACGAGTGTCTGTAAATTCAACCTCAATCGAGCCGTCGAAGAACAGTTTAAGATACTAGTTTAAGATACGCGGCTATTATGTATCCATTTGAATTGACTTGTTTGATCGGTATGCTTCTCAACCATTATTCCATAATGGATATATTATGACAGTTTTCACAATAGACGCGGTAGTGCAATTAATCAGCAACGAACAGAAAATCGATTGAAGCTATTATTTGAAGATAATTGTTTGCCCGGAGAAGACTACCGATGTAAGACTAATTAGTTATTCAGTCTTACATCGATACCAAATTCGAAATCATTGTTTGCATGATGTACATACGTCATACGCGTGCAATATCGATTGCAATGGAATGTTTTACAATTGATCTTCAGAGAAAGGTGGTCTTCTCTTGGTCGGTATCGATTACGCGGCAGCGCCGCGATCGTTCCTCTTCCCCATCGAATTTCTAGTCGCGCGCTACGGCTCTACAGGCTGATTCACGAAAAAAATATTGTAAGATGAGAATTTGACTTTTTTTTAATTTAAGAGAGATTTTGAACAGTAAATTTTGCATAAAATTCTATCGAGATAATATTCAATTTTTAAGTAGAACATTTAATATTTTAATCGCAATCGAAATATTTGAGCAGAATCTCTTACAAAGTATTACAGAGTGATCCGTAAAACTGTGCGACTGTCGGAATTTGATTTTTTAGGAGATTTAGACTGATATATTTCCGATAAACGAAAGAGATTTTTAACTACAACTGTTGAATGTGTTTAAATTATTGCATAAATTTAATTCTTTTTTATTCTTATGAAATTTTAAATATTATTTTATCTAAGAGAGTTTTAGAATAATATATGATATGATCTCATATATTTTTAATTTAAGTTAAATTTAAACTTTTTTAATTTTGATCTTTAATTTTAATTTTAATATATTAATTTCGACAAAAATCTTGTTTTTGAAATTGAAAGAATAGTTTAAAATGTTTTATTACATAGTTAAGGAATAAAGTGTATTATATTACGATTGAAATCTGTCTCATAGATTTAAATTTTATTTTTAATTTTTCAAATGAATGACATTTATTTTCTTCAATTTTTTGTTTTATTTTATTTTTTCTTATTTACAGCTTATATTTTATTTTATGTTATAATAATATTCTGTTGATTTACTTTATGATTACATAATTCTATAACAAATTCTAAAATAAAATCTTTGTAAGAGAAGGGTAATATATTGTGAGATATACTATCTCCATGAATCGCTCTGTATATATATATATATGTCCGAGTCTGTCGGAATCGCGAGAGCGTCGCGGTATCATGATGCGCCGGCGTCAAAATATTGAGCCGATGGTACCGCGCGTTAGACCAGCACGTAGACAGCTTCAACGCGACCCTGAAGACATGGGGTAAGTCCTCTCTTTCTCTCTCCTCGTCTTTCGTTTTACTCGTGATTCTCCCCGATCGAGTGTCGATCGCGTGCTCAAGTTATCATTATAACGGTTCTTCTGCCCTCGGGAGATCTTTAGAGACCCTGCACTTTCGGCCTTTGACTTCTCTGCGCCGGAAGCGCCTTAGCGCTCGTCGGCCATGTTGCAAAAATATATAACAATGGTATATGAATTTTGAATATTTTATTATAGGGCACCCAAACGCCTGAGGTGAAATGGTTTATTGGCATTCTCCTTTAGAAACCAACTGCTATTTATTCTACTTTAAAATGCAAAAATCGCAACTATCTATATTTTGTAACAGAACAGTTTATACATGCCGGAGAAAAAAAAGTATAAGTGTTTTTGCATTGCAAATAAAATTTATTTTCCTCCCCTTTGTTTCTGTTTTCAGTAAAAAAATTGAGAACATAGGCAGAATGACGGCGATGACGCAGGAGGAGATCGTGGCTGGAGCACGGACGGTCGCTCAGGGTTTGGAGGCTCTCCGAGTCGAACATGGTGGTCTGCTGCAGGGCCTGCAGTCCCAGGACGCGCCAGCCGCTCGGGACAAGGCTAGTCTGCTATCCAAAATCATTGAGATGATCGACCTGGGCCTGGGCGAGGCACAGGTGATGCAGGCACTGGCGAGTCATCTACAGATGGTGGAGGCGGAAAAGCAGAAGCTGAGGACGCAGGTGAAGAGGCTGTGCCAGGAGAACGCCTGGCTCAGGGACGAGCTGGCCGGCACACAACAGAAGTTGCAAGCGAGTGAGCAAGCCGTAAGTATTTTCAACATTATTGTCAATCTTGATACGTTAATGATTTTATGTATAAAAATAATCTAAGCTGTGATTTTAAGAATTTTTTTCAGAAATGTATGTCGATTGCTTTTTCAATCTTAGTTTTAACATGTTGGCGTATTATCTATTAGCACCAAGTATAATAATTTTTTTTGTTACAATATTTTCTTTGCTATTCTAAATAAATTTATCATATTTCATATATTTTACAGGTAGCGCAGTTGGAAGAAGAAAAGAGACACTTAGACTTTATGGCCAGTATGCGACAGTATGACCCAGATCCATCAACAGAAGATGAAAATGCTAAGGATCGACCGAAAGATGATCCTGTAGTGGATCTCTTTCCTGATGATGATGCGGACGATCGTAATAACAAATGTAGGTGAATATGTCGTGAATTTGTATGTGTTTGAATTATCGCAATGGGAAAATTTCTTAGATTAAAACTTTTATAAAATTAATTACTTACTAAAAATTAACAATACATAAAATATGGAAGCAAATAATATGTTGCAATTATTATATTAATTTAGAAAATTATTAGACAAATAATAAGGATAATTACGATTTAAATGAAAATTTTTATGACTTTTAAATGAATTAAATGCGAAATCTTTATTTATAAGTATTGCATAGCTGTTTCTTCAACAAAGATTTCTATTGTGTGAATCTTACAATGACATGATGTTACAGTGATATTACGTTGCTATTCGGTTTTGAGCTACGTTAAAAGTCCGACGATTATGCGGCGCGCGGTTCATTTGAATCGAAAATTGGAAAATTGGAAATTAGAATATTATCGAGCACCAAGGTTCGCTTTGACCGTGTTGGCGTTTTCCTTTCTTAATTGTTTGTAACATTTCTTGGTCTATCCTGATGCTTAATTATTTCTAATGTGTTTTCCAGCTATATCTCCGACTCCGCCGTCGCAGTTCGCTCAGCAAGTGAACGCCGGCTATGAGATACCGGCACGTCTGCGCACCCTGCACAACTTGGTGATCCAGTATGCAAGTCAAGGCCGCTACGAAGTGGCGGTGCCCTTGTGTAAGCAAGCTTTGGAAGATCTGGAGAAAACCTCCGGCCACGATCATCCCGACGTGGCGACCATGCTCAACATCCTCGCTCTCGTATATCGAGACCAGAACAAATACAAAGAGGCCGCGAACCTTCTGAACGACGCTCTGGCGATTCGAGAGAAGACGTTGGGTGAAAATCATCCCGCGGTGGCGGCGACGTTGAACAACCTCGCGGTGCTGTATGGAAAACGAGGAAAGTACAAGGAGGCTGAACCCCTGTGCAAACGAGCGCTGGAGATCCGCGAGAAGGTGCTTGGTCGCGATCATCCGGACGTGGCGAAGCAACTGAATAATCTGGCGCTGCTGTGCCAGAATCAGGGCAAGTATGAGGAGGTGGAGCGCTACTATCAGCGCGCGCTCGAGATCTACGAGGTTAAACTGGGCCCGGACGACCCAAACGTCGCTAAAACGAAAAACAATCTGGCGTCTTGTTACCTGAAGCAAGGAAAGTACAAGGATGCCGAGGTGCTGTACAAGCAGGTGCTCACTAGAGCGCATGAGAGAGAGTTCGGCGCCATTGACGGTGACAACAAGCCGATTTGGCAGGTAATATAGGAAATATTGAATCACCAGTACAATACAATTACCGTGCCTTCAAAATTGCGATTAAGGATTCAATTTTTGGAAATTTTTTCCGAAGAGAGAAGTGTGTGGTAACCAAAAGTTTCCAAAGGTTTTCAAAGAATATAAAAAGAGCATGATTTATTATATTTACTCACTGCAATTTCAACTTATGATTTATGATTTATTCAATGCAATTTCCTTCAAAATAATTCCCTTTAAAGAATGATACAACAATTGCTCAAATACTTATTGTGATATGGAGTTTTGCTACTAGATGGTGATTTAAAGACAAATACAGGGTTCTGGAAGCATTTTATTTATCTACTCAAATATCTACTTAATAACTTTAAGCAATTAAACAATAAAACGTGAAAAAAATATTTTGAATATTGTTTGAATTCAAAGCAATAAATAGTTACTCGATTTATACATAATTAATAATTGTTGAAAAAATAAGAAAGTTTCATGTATATATTTTTATATATGTGTATATTATTGCGATTTTCTTATACATTATAATACAAGAAATAAAATAAGTAATCAAAGATAACTCATATCTTTTTATCATACCACATTAATCAAACGAGATATAAAACTTTAAAATGCTTTTTCATTTAATATTGATATGTTGTTTATGGCCGGTATTCATAAGTCGGTTCGATCAAGATTATCTTAAATAATATCTTAAGATGCTAATACGACTGTGATTGGCTTATGATATCTTAAGACTGTTTTAGGAGCTGTCTACAATACGTCATATGTCAGATCGTAAGCCGTAAATCGCAAGAATTGACCAATCACAGTTGAATATAAGAAAAATATTCGACTACGATTGGTCAATTCTTAGTTAGTATGATATGAGTAGTGACTAACGGCTTATTGTAGAAAGCCCCTAAAGGGCTGTCTACAATACGTCGTATGTCAGATCGTAAATCGTAAGAATTGACCAATCACAGTTGAATGTAAGAAAAATATTTGATTATGATTGGTCAATTCTTAGTTAGTCTGATATGAGTAGTGACTAACGGCTTATTGTAGAAAGCCCCTTAAATATAAGCTAAAGATGATCTTCGATATAAGAATCGACTATGGCTGCGGACCGATTCATGCTCACTAACGCTCTTGGATTCATCCTTGCTGTTAATCGAATATTAAATAAAGACAAATGATGCTTACGAGCGTTGTGAGCGTAAATAGGATCGCAGCCTATGAATGGTGGCCTATAACTTAGAAATATTTACTTATAAGAATAATATGGAATGTTATATTTAAGGGCCCTTTCTAGTCAGTCACGAACTCCGCGTTGACGGTAGCGACGCTATATCGCGGTAGAAATTAGAAGTTTCTTATCGTATATTAGGTCCGTCCTATAATAAGTCATATATCGGTGTTTTAAGTCATAAACCGTGATAATTTTATAGAATAATTGTATGCCGATATCGTAAGCAGTGTAAAATTGATCAATCACAGACGAATATGAAGAGAATACTCGACAATTGAAAATAACGGACCTACTGTGAAAAGTGTTGACAACGAATTTTGTGTTGCGTGCCATTTCGTTATTATGTGCTTAATTGTGAAAGTGCGACTTGTCTCGTATTTATAAAAGTCGTAAAAATGGATGGAAACTATAGTTATTGTCAAATTTTATACGTAAAAGTATCTTTTCCGTTCTTTTCAACAGCTATCAAATCGTGAGTTTTCTCGCTTAAATAAGCATCACTTTACGTGCCTTTTACGACTATTTACTGACTTTTAGAGGGGAAAAGGATAGATTCCATTGTACAAATTTTCTAAAGCGATCCTATTTATTAATTTTATCCAAATCCTCTTTATTTAAAAATGGCACGCAACAAACTTTTTCGTATCATTTCTCGCTGTTTCTCGCTTCTGACGTCACGAGTCCAATATGGCCGCAGTGACTAGGAAGGGCCCTTAATTGAAAAATATCCAATAAAACGTTAAATTTATTAGCGTATCATAATATAAATATATTCTTGAAACGAAATTATTATTTTCAATAATGAAACATACTGTCAAAATAACCAACAAAAGAAAATATAAGATTAAAGATTAGTTTGTTAAAAAAAAAAATAAAAAGCAGCATAATAGATCTATATTATCTGTTTGCAAAATCTGTATAAATCTTACATAATTTTTAATTTTTTCTTGATGAAATTCTTGGATTTAATCGTTTTCTAATCGATCTTATGACTTCTGGTTTAGGTGGCTGAAGAGAGAGAAGAAAATAAGCACAGAAACAAGGAGAACACCCCATACGGCGAGTATGGTGGTTGGCACAAGGCCGCGAAGGTGGATTCTCCTACCGTCACTACTACTTTAAAGAATCTCGGTGCCCTTTATCGAAGACAGGGTAAATACGAAGCCGCGGAAACGCTCGAGGATTGCGCCATGAGATCTCGGAGAGAGGTAGATAATATTTGTATATCAACTCTTTTGCCAAAAGAATACACACAGGAATAATTGCAAATAATAATAACTAACAATATTTTTTATATTTCGCACACGCAGCACGTGCAACAAGTGAGTAAAAGCTTTTCAGCACTATTCTGAAATCTTACATTATCTTTACACATTGCAAAGTTACATACAAGGTTTATTTTTTTCATCTACGTTAAAAAATTCTTTTTTGGATAATTTTTATTCTAATTTTAAATTTAATTTAAATTAACGTAATGTTGACTACCATGTGTAATAATGATACACATATTATGCACATATTATGACCAGACAAAAATTCTTGATTCTTGATCTGGCCGGTTAAAATTTCTTTTTTCAAATTACAACATGTATAAACATTGTATATGTTGTTTATTCATAAACAATATTATAACAATTAATAATTATAAAATAAAAAGCTTGTGATTCAAACTTCATTAGATTTAGAATGAATCTATAGTTTAAGACATTGGCAATCAATATGTTAATTGTAAATATTTAGATTATCAAGTATTAAAATCATATAAACTTGCAAATTAAAAAAAAATATATATACACAATTAAAATTAATAATATATACATATATGCAATAAAAGTATATAGACATATATGTAATAATAATATATGCAAAA